GGCAGAGACAGCCGCCCGCCCGCTACGCCGCCCACGAGGTGGCACACGAGACGAGGCTCGAGTACACAAAGAGCGAGACAAGGCGCACTCGAGGCGGAGGCAGAGACAGCCGCCCGCCCGCCACCCCGCCCACGAGGCGGCACACGAGACGAGGCAAGAGTAGACAAAGAGCGACACGAGGCTCACTCGAGGCGGCGGCAGAGACAGCCGCCGGCCACGCCTGCTACGGCGCCCACGAGGCGGCACACGAGACAAGGCTCGAGTAGACAAAGAGCGAGACGAGGCGCACTCGAGGCGGAGGCAGAGACAGCCGCCCGCCCGCTACGCCGCCCACGAGGTGGCACACGAGACGAGGCTCGAGTACACAAAGAGCGAGACAAGGCGCACTCGAGGCGGAGGCAGAGACAGCCGCCCGCCTGCCACCCCGCCCACGAGGCGGCACACGAGACGAGGCTCGAGTAGACGAAGAGCGAGACGAGAAGCACTCGAGGCGGCGGCAGAGACAGCCGCCCGCCCGCCACGCCGCCCACGAGGTGGCACACGAGGCGAGGCTCGAGAAGACGAAGAGCGAGACGAGAAGCACTCGAGGCGGCGGCAGAGACAGCCGCCCGCCCGCCACGCCGCCCACGAGGCGGCACACGAGACGAGGCTCGAGTAGACGAAGAGCGAGACGAGGCTCACTCGAGGCGGCGGCAGAGACAGCCGCCCAGGCTCGAGTAGACGAAGAGCGAGACGAGGCTCACTCGAGGCGGCGTCAGAGACAGCCGCCCGCCCGCGACGCCGCCCACGAGGTGGCACACGAGACGAGGCTCGAGTAGACGAAGAGCGACACGAGGCTCACTCGAGGCGGCGGCAGAGACAGCCGTTCGCCCGCCACGCCGCCCACGAGGCGGCACACGAGACGAGGCTCGAGTAGACGAAGAGCGGCACGAGGCTCACTCGAGGCGGCGGCAGAGACAGCCGCCCGCCACGCCACCCCGCCCACGAGGCGGCACACGAGACGAGGCTCGAGTAGACGAAGAGCGAGACGAGACGCACTCGAGGCGGCGGCAGAGACAGCCGCCCGCCCGCCACGCCGCCCACGAGGCGGCACACGAGACGAGGCTCCGAGTAGACCAAGAGCGAGACAGGGGCACTCGAGGCAGCGGCAGAGAAAGGCGCCCGGCCCGCCATGCCGGCCCAGAGGGGGGCACACGAAGCCAGGGCTTCGAGTGGACCAAAAAGGGAGCCCAAGGCTCACTCCGGGGGGGGGGGACAAAAAACACGCCGCCCCGGCCCGCTAA